GAAAGGGAAGATTTTTGTATTAAGTATTCTGGGCCACAATGCAGCCAGGGATGGAAGATTCATGTGGCCCATGTCAGGAAGACAAGAAAGGAGTTTAATCTGTACCAGAAAGTAAGGTGTTCATCTAGCACAGGCAGGTATGGATTTTCATCCTTGCTGTCAAGATGGTTTAGACATTTATCATCAGACTGCAAATGAATAAAAAGTAGAAATAATCTACAGAGTAGAAACCAGTTTTGCCACCTTAGGTAAATCAGCCACTAAGTCACAGAAGTTACGGTGTGCTTATGGGAACTGGGAATCCCCTCAGGGTGAGAAGGGATCATACCTACTCCTGCATCTGCAGCCTCATCGGGGGAGTGCATGCCATCCTCCAGACTCATGAAGAAGGAGGCTACCATTTTCCCCATGTCCTTTGCACATAAAGTCGTGAAGACATTTCACGTGCCTCTGTCTGTAGACTGGGAGACTTCTGTTCATAGCCAGCAGGTTGCTTTGTGGGCCAAACTTCAGGCATCTCAAGGCTAGGCTTGTCTCACTGTTGGAATTAAATACCTGAATTCTGTATAGGTCACATTTTAGGAACCAAAGTAGGAAATTTGATTCTTGTCCATAATGAATAACAAAAGAAGCAATTGCAAGGTAAGTTGTTTAGCTTGTTTAAAATGAGCAAAAGGACTACAAATAATAAAAGAAAGCCCATGTTTTTAGTGGGATGTTTAGTGTCTGAAAAACATTTATAGAATTAATTTTGTTACTTCATGTCTACCTCCTATAAAAATCTTTTCTTAAAATGAAGAGAGGGCTGTAATGCAAAATTGGCAGATACTGGAAGCCAAAGTGTTTTAATCCCTATTTAATTGTATGCATTTCATATTTTGGAAAAAGTTCAATAATTGCTTCTGTTTTTAAGAAAGGTTCAGGGCTTTTTGCAATTTTTATCATACAAATCCTCTTAATTCAGTATTATGACTACTCATGTTCAATAAGAACTGCGTGTGAATTGCAGATCCACAGTCTTTTTAACACAGCAAACGTCATACAGCTTGTTCTGAAAAGAGGAGGCAGCCATGTGTACTACTCTTTACAGCAATACTCTGAGCTGCACTGTTGTCATATCAATGGTTCTTTAATGCCTTTCTTTAGATCCTGGTTTTAAAAAATCAGGAGATCTGCTTAATACGCTACCTTATAATGCTACATTGGCAGTTATACATCATTGTTTTGGGAATAATAATCGATTCTAAACCGCCCTGTTGGTCGTTAACAGTGAAAAAGGAGCTGGGAGTGCCAGACAAAATGAGCATTCACAGAGACAAACTGCATCTTTCAGAATGAATAATACTTCTATTATTTTAATGAAGAAAATGTTTATAGGATGACATGTATAAAAATGCAACACTGTTTCACAGTATTGCTGGTTTATTTTAAACCAGAGCACATAAACAATAATTCTGCATTGAAGTGTGACCACATTCTAGTTGGTGATGTTTTCTTTGGAAATTTAAGTGTCTTCTCCTAGGAGAGGAGGGTAGACAGAAAATGGGTTTTGTGTAATGCACAAATAAAAACAATCTGTTAGTGAATCTATAAATACATTCCCTTTGTTTTAGAACACAACAGCAATTTAAAACCCTCTCACAGTGGGGCAGCCTAAAATGGAAGGAAAATGAAAGGTTTATTGTGGTCAGGGAGCATTCAGCCAATTGGAATTCACACCCCTGCAGCATTCAGCCAGTTAAAGTGGGATGGTAGTATTAATAATCAATAGGTGAAACAAACTTTTAATCAACAAGTAGAAGAGCAAGAATGATTAATCAATGGTGTTTCATTTCATCCCAAGGTGTGCAGAAACAAGAGGTGGTGTGTAAAAGACTGGATGACAACTCCATTGTACAAAACAACTACTGTGACCCTGACAGTAAGCCTCCAGAAAACCAAAGAGCCTGCAACACTGAGCCTTGCCCACCTGAGTAAGTCATCAGGCACTAAGATGGACATGTGTTTTGCATAGATAGAAGAGTCTTTGTAATCTATAATAAATCCCATTGACCAACTGTGTATAAAATTCTGATTCAGTATTAGGGCCCTGTCCTCCCCAGGATACTCGGAGTTGTACAGTAATGCCGTGTGCCTTTAGGGTTAGGTGCCTACTTCGTTACGTCTATTTAGTTGTATTTTTAAAGTTAGCTGTATGCTATATATTGAAAAGATAATTTAAAACACAGCAGCTCATTTCTTCAAAAATTGAATTTGGCAGGGATCTATAGCATAGCTTGATCTTACTACAAAACGTGTTTAGAAACAGTTGTGATATTTTGCACTAGAAAATAATTTCAGCATATGCATGACAGCTCCTTATGTTTTGAGACAAAACTTGTGGAAAAAACAGAAGAGATAACAGTTTATTGATTCACAGCTCTGGTTTAAGTTTGGTGATAATCTGTAGCTATATTCTAATTGGGCATGAAAACTATTAATGCTGATTAAGTGTAGATATTGCACAATAAAGAAATACCGTCGTCTCTTTTAAATGTCTCTTAGAAACTGTAAAATTGTAGCATGAAGGACACTGGCAGGAATGAGACAAGACTATAATGCATTAAAATCCCAACAGGTCTTCATGAAGCCATTTTTTTCCTAGAGTATCAGCTGCTTCCCTGATGTGGTGACTGGTTGCAGAATGGCAGAGCAATGTTTTCTACGCTTACTCCCCCTGTGTTACACACCGTACTCATTTGGCATAAACAGAAATGAAGCCATTGCACTGCTCTCACCTTGACTGTGGTTGAAAGTGAATGTACTGTCTCACAAACAGGTCTAAAGTAGGTCTAAATCATTGTCCCCACAGTCTATGTGTAAATACATGTTTACCCTGCAAAGATTCTGCACTTGTATTCTGTTTGGATAACACTGTTTAGCATGGGTGCAAGTGCACTAACTAAACGCTCACACTATGTACTTGAGAGCAGAACTTGGGAAGTGGTCATGTTTGGTCAGTTCCTTTTTACCAAACACATCCCTATCCCTTCCTTTGTGAGGCTTAACTATTAACAAATTAGCACTTTCAAAAGTAGTGTTAACATAGTTATTCCAACCTAGTTAATTTTTTTTTCACCAACATTATTTAAAAAACAAAACCAAAAAACTAACCCAAAAAGCTGGACACTTCTGGATTCTCCATCCAGTACAGCAGGGACATTGATGAACAAGATGAAACTCAAGTCATCAAGATTCAGAAAGTGGGTAGTGTGTATTAATCAGCACCTACTTGAATATGTCAGAGCAGTTCAGCCCACGTCTCCTTCCATTCTGATGTTCCCCACAGGGTGAATAGAATCATAGAATCATTTGGTTGGAAAAGACCTTTAAGAGCATCAAGCCAAATCAGACCTGTCCACTACTAAACCTTGTCTCTAAGCACCTCGTCTACCCATCTTCTAAATACTCCAGGGATGGTGACTCAACCACTTTCCTGGGTAGCCTGTTCCAGTGCCTGATAACCCTTTCAGTGAAGAAATTTTTTCTAATATCTAATCTAAACCTACCTTGGCACAACTGAGGCAAAATACAAAGTGCTGAATTCCTAAGGAAGGGTTCTCGATTCCTGATCCTGCAAGTAGTCTAGAAGGCTGTTCAAATAACAGATAGTTACCCAAAGAAGTTTGGCCCTTTTGGCTGAAAGATTTATCACCCAGTAAGACCTACTCTTTACATAGAGTGGCCAAATATTTTAGTTTTTAATTAACACAATTCCGCTTCCTTGTGGTGTATACCAAAAGTTATGGAATGTTACTCTCTCTAACTGAATGTCAGTTACATTATACTTGATGTCCCTGAGCAGCAGCAAAGACTATGTTTGTTCACAGTATTTTTGTTATTATGGTAAGTAACTCTTCAAGTTCTAGGTTTCAAGAAATGATACAGGTAACTCTCATAGTTCTGTGAATTATGAGTAGTACTGTCTCGTCATACAAGATAAATGTAAAAGGTACCTGAGAATACAGCAAATCACAGTAGCAACTAAAAATTAACACTTCAGCCTCTCCAGAGGTCTGAAAAGCTTCTAATTCTCCCTACTGCTGTGGTAAAATTGTAAGTTTGGTCACGAAGAATCACAAATTAATTCTCTTTTGCTGGGAAATTAACAGTAAAATATGGCATATTTGTTTGCATCTCCTCATTGATCTAGGCTCATATTAGAATATATTACACATTCTGTAACACAAGACAGGATAGCAGCATATTTTTTTTGACAGAGGCTTCAGAAAATGACAAATCTTATGAGGCAGCCCCAAGCATACCTCCAGGAACATCCACAGTGACTGACATGCCTGGCATTTTTGGCGTGTTGGCAACATGTGATAGCATACAAGACTTCACCTTCATCCTTTGTAAGGATGATTCACGCGAGTGTATCTAATCAACATAGGGAATACTGAAGACCAAATGTGCTTGACAATGCAAAGAGATATTTCAAGTGAATTGAGCTGCATTAACCATTCATTGGTAGAAAAAAACCCAAACAACAAACCACATTACAGCCAGATTAACAGCTGCTTTAATGTCTGCGGCGACACAAACTAATCTAAATATACTGTACAACTCCTGACTTTTACTACATGCACACAAGCATTCAGAAGTTCACTCTAGCATCTATCATGCAGTGCTTCAAATGTTTTAAATATTTGTTGAAGTAATTTTTTGTGATGAATTCATGTTTTACTAGTGTTAGCTTTACTTACTCTAATAAATAAGAATATTTTGCATTTCAGTATACCCTTTTATTAAAAAGTTGTCAATGTTTCATGATCAGATGAGAATTAACTGTCAGAAAGCCCAGTTTTGAGATCAGAGTGTTTTACTGTAATATTAGAGAGGCAACCATCTTGTTTTTTAACTTGTGCTGTAACCTACAGCAGTGGTTCCCAAACATTTCCAGTTGCAAACCACTTTCAGAGAAATAATTTCAGGCAAGTCCAGTACAAATCTACTTCAATAGCTGCAGTTTTGTCAGGCTCAACAGTCCTTTCTAACTACTATAACCTAGGCTGGAAATTGCTGTTATAGAAAAATACAAAGTGGTATTATTATTGGAAGATATGAGTGCAATGAGGCATAAATTAGAATGTTCAGTAAGAAGACCCGTAAGTTTCTACTTTATTTCACCATGAATGCATGTACTGTTAACAATGATTTAGGTTTAGTAATTTAAACTATTTGGATTCTGGTTTTGTGCAATTATCTACTGTTTCTGAAATGCATTAACTGAGTCTCCTAAATTTTTCTGTCCAGGTGGTTTATAGGGGATTGGTCAGAATGCAGTAAGACCTGTGATGGAGGAATGCGTTCACGAACAGTTCTCTGTATCAGAAAGATTGGACCTTCTGAGGAAGAGACACTGGACAATACCAACTGTTTAACACACCGACCTATTGAAAAAGAGCCCTGTAACAATCAGTCCTGTCCACCACAGTGGGTTGCTTTGGACTGGTCAGAAGTAAGGAAGTTTTGCTGTGTTAGCTCATTGGTAACAGTGGAGACGAGCACCGATCACTGAGTATTAGTACATTTTTTATTGCTGCTTGCTAAGTAAAGGATTAATAAGAAATTCAAAACCTTGTATATTTTGTATTGAAGCAGTTTTTTCTTTCTTTCTATGTTGTCAGTTCTGTTTTGTCAAATGCTTATGATCTGTTTTCATGAATTGTAGTAGAAAAATTGTAAAGTACAAAATAGAATAGTAAAATTGTAAAAAAAGCCCAATGAAACAAAACCCCCTAGAATAACCATTTGTTATGAGATAATTGTCTTAAAGAAAAAGCAATTTCCATTTCCATTATTTTTTGAACAGGCAAATAGCTGGATAGTAGACATGATGGGTTTACAATATCAGAAGCCAGAACAAACTGTTTTTTGGGGGTTTTTTTCTGAGGTAACCATGCTGATGTAAAGCATCACCTTTCTTAGCAAGATGCCTTTAAAGCAGACCTCAAAGTTGGTATTCTCTTCATTAAGGAAAGAACATCTTTCATTAAGTATGGTGATACCTGTTGCAGTATACGCTTGGCTTATACTATACATTATACTGATTCAAGTATTAAACGTGAAGAATGTGAACCAGTACAGCTGAAAGGAAAGGCAGATACATTTAAATGGGACTGCATCATATGCAAATCAGAGTGCAAAAATGACTGTATATTTTTTCAGATCCTTGCTATCCTGGACTCCCATGTTCACCCAGCTTTTTCTCTCGAAGTACCTTTTGGAATACTTACAAGTTAGGATATCCTGAGTTGCCATGTCTGTGTCCTTGCTGTCACATGCAACCATATCATATAATTACTTTCATTAATTGATTAAACTATGTTTTAAAAATAGTTAATCTGGGGGCTTGTCACGCTGCTTCTTGGGAAACTATTCCTGAACTGCAGTCTTTAAATTGTAAGTGTTCTGATGTTCTAGTTCCATGCCAGTTTATACCTGTTTGCTTTTGTTACCTGCAACAGCCCTTTCTTCCTTTGTGGCTATTACTCAGCAGAAATTAATTAATCTTGGTCACATTCCGCTTTCGTGTTTGAAGCTGTCTTTCTGGGACTGGATGACTAGACTTAAATGTATGTATTGTCCCAGAAGAGCTTTCACATGTGCCTTGTTCTTTTGTTTCCTGCCTCTGCTGAAAATACCCATAACCTACAGTATATCAGTATATCCCAAATAAGTTTCTTCTGTTCCACAGCAATCACATTGAATATGTGAAGTCATCTTACACTCTGCTAATATATCCAGATCCTTAATCTCCTTTTTTAATTTCTTGGGGTTTGGGGGTTTTTTTTGAAATGTATGCTTTTGCATGTCATACCGCCAAAATTCACTTCATTTCAATTATTAATATCTTCATGGTTGTCTAGTTCTTTCTGTAGAGCATACCTCAGTATCATCAAAGTGAGTTAGTTACCCGTGCTATCTGCTAGTTTCAGTAATTTCAGAAACTCGGAACAATTGAAACTACTTTTGTATGAACATCATTAAGTAGAGTGCAAAGAAATATGAGTCAGATCAGTCCTGTGACTGATCCTAGAAGGTCTTTGCAGGTAGCAACTCTCAAATCCTAAACTTGACCCAGTTGTCATCCCCCTTTCAAATACTTTAATACAGTACAGTGTATTCCAGCACTTTGAAAATGAATCTGACTTAGAGCAGAAAAGAAAGGAGTGTGAAGGAAAGAATGAATGAGTGGGAGGGGATCTTCAGTTGAAGACTCTTACCATACTGCATCTATGGCACTGACAGTTTGTAAGCTCTTTACATCCTTTATCACAGTACTTTATTTCCGATTGGAATATCTAGGCATCATCTCATTACTAACAAATAGTAGTATCCATATGACAAGTTACAGAGCTATAGATCTGTCATTTATCTACTGTTGCCCTTTAGCTACCTCGAGACATTGCTCAATAATACATCATTCTTAGAGCTATCTACACTGCCACCCTCATAAGAAGCTTGAACAACTTGACCAAAATCATTCTGATCTGAAGATTCAAGTTCTGCTAAACTTCTCGTTGTGATGGTATTTAATTAGGATTATGAAAAAGTGCCAGCTTCTTTCTGGTATGAATTTTGGCTGCTGTAGCTTGGCAAACCGTCTTGACTGACGATACCATTTTAATGCAATGAGAAAAATAGCTTTTTTTTTTTTCCTGTTCAGTGTTCCCAGAAACATAATGTATTAAAATCCCCATAGCAATATACATGCAAATATTTATAGATATGTATTTATATCATTTTCTGACAGACGCATGAAAGTGAAAACAAGAGTGAACTCAAAACGTGAAGAGTTGAATATTGCTTCCACTGAAAACAATGGCAAACCTTGCTACTGTTCTCTGGAATGCAAGTTCTAAAGTTTTATTTTCATACTCAAGCAATACATCATACAAATAAAACAACTATAGAACTCTTCTACATGCTAATGCACTTGTTGAGCATCAATGTAGTTACATAATTTTTTACTCTTCAATGATAATTAAAAAGAAATTCCGTATCTTTTTGGTCAGAGAAACAAAACCATTTTGTAACACAGAGATGAAGTAAAGTCCTTAGGAGAATGTAAAAGTGCTTTTATTAAATAGTAGTTAAAGCTAACAGTGTCTTGCCCAGCGGAATGTAGTCATTCTTGGGTAATGTCAGTTTTGCCGTAAAATTTTTCTTGCTTTACAATAGTTGAGCTTGGACTGAATTACTCTGCCCACTGTAAATTACTTGTTTTGTATTTTTCCAGATAATAAAATAAACTGGCAAAAAATAAGGATTTCTTGAGAAGAGCCTTATCAGACAAGCACTTTCACTTTGCATTCATATTACCATTAGTCATGAGTTCCACTGAGTGAGTCAAAAATTCTAGAAGCATTTAGTAATGGAAGACACTTCTTCCTGTTTTTGTTTGTATGGGTATTTTGTCTTGCATTGGCTTTGGAGACATACATTTTTTGTTAAATTCTACTGATTCTTCTTATTTTTGGTGATTCAGTATTATTGTAGGCAACCTATTTCCTTACTTCAATTCATTTCTGGGGACAGGGTGTAGTCCATCTTATGTAGTGGAATTTTAACTATGACTCCAAAAAAGTGTGTTTTTAGGGGACTTTGTTTTCTTTTGGTACCAGTAGCTGAAAGAAAATTTTTCTCAGATGCAGCTTAGACATAGGTAAAAGAATGTGTTTTCAAGCAGGGCTAGAAAATGGATGCACCTAAACTCAAGTTTTGATCCTCAAACTCTTCCTTGCTTGCTGATGCATTCTAGAGATTATGAAAAAGTATAGGTACATTGGGTTTTGACATTTTTGACGAGGTCCTTTCAACCTTGTCTCTTTTCTGTTTGTTTTTGACAGAATGCTCAGTGACTGAGAAATGATTGAGCGCAAGTGATTTTTTAAACACTTAGCTAGGAAGGGGCACTTGCTTCTAGTTCCTGCTTAAAATTCATGCATTTTACATGAAATTTTTGTGGGAGAAAATAGATGCAACATTCCATTAAATTTCAACCAGAACTGAGGAGTCTTGATCATGATGCTGAAGACCTCACATCTTCGTTGTCATTCTTTTACGGTGTCTATTTAGCATTAATATTCTTTTGCAGTTCAGCCAGAGAGATGGGAGATATTTCTTCTCTTACTTCCCTCCTTCCCCTAGTTTTCTAGTAGACAGGGTGCACAAGATTGGGTATGAGGATGATTGAACCTGGCTATTCTGTGTCAGAATTCTGAACACTGAACTACTGTAGATAAGGAGGCAGTATCTGGTAGGATAGGATAGGGTAGAGTAGGGTAGGATAGGATAGGAACGGTTAAATTCTAAGGAAAGTGATTATATACCCATTCTGCAGTTCTGGATTTTAGACTCCAAATGGAGGACCCGTCTCTTCACAGCCCAGTTTAAGATCCTAAATATAAGCAGAGATAAGATTTAGGATAAATCTGACTGTTATGTATTGACTAGGTTAGGTGGCTCCCACTGAGAGATTTTCTTAAAGATCTTGTTTTGAGGAGTGTGTGTGTATGTATATATATGCACACCTTTACATATGTATAGGGAATATCAATATCTTACGTAGTACTATAGAACTGTTTTAAAATTTCTTTAAGTTAGGGAGAGATGCTTCAGGATTAGGCGTACAGCAGTAAAGTTTGAGTCACTTAAGTAATTTTTTCTGAAAATGAATCTTAGAGAGTTTTTTCCCCAGTTATATACTGACCTGATTGGTCGTGTGGAAGGGCTCTTGAATATTGCCTTGGTTCCACATAGTATTATTTCCCAGATAATGTTTTGTCTCTACAGCTGCTTTCATATGAAAGGCAGTTCCACTCTTTACAGGTTTAGCATAATCTGTATGTAAGGTTTATGCTATTGGAAACTGATTCTGGTCCAAATACTGCAGATACACTTATGGGATAAAGGTTTACATGCCAGTAGGGAATTCTAATACTGTGCTTGCAAAATCTCCTGGTCAAATGTTAAAGAGAGTCTGATTTGGGGAAGGTCTTGACTCTTAATTTTGTTAGCACTTGCATCTTCCCCATTCTGCAGTTGTGCTGATGTAAGTGACAGTTAATAGTCAGTAGCAGAAAGGAGGGACGAGGGGGCAGGGGAACCAATATGAAGAAAGAGGAGGAGAAGAGGTCATGAGACCTGCTTCTTTTCAAATTAGTTTTACTTTCTGCTTGCTGTTAGAACAAGCAGAGGATTGATAAAAGGAGGAAAAAAACCCCACAACTGTATGTAAAACAGAATTAAAATGTAGATAGGAGAGAAAAGAATGCATTGTAGGAGAGGGTACAGTATTTCTGTCTGAATAGTCTGGTTTCTGTGGAGTCCAGTCAAGCATTTATCTTCCCATATGTTTATTGAGGAAAAATGTGTTCATTGTAGCTCAGTAGTCTGTGAGGTGGAGAAAGACTGTACTATGGTAATATTAAGAACGGAGAGTTCTACTTTTAATTTCTGCAACACACGCTCAAGTTTGTTTCATAATAGTGCTACGTGTGGCAGGCCTTTCTACTTCGCAACAAAGTGCTTTTCTTAAACCTAACGGAAAGGCTCTTTTATATAAAAGTAAACAGTAACACCATAGCCTACATATAAATAGCAAAAGAAATCTACTTTTACAAAATTCAAACTTACAAAAACTTGAACTCAGTAAAGCAATCACCAGTCAGCTTTTTTGTGTTTCAAAACATTTTAAAATTATCATTATTACCTTGGGAAATCTGTGATTGTAGTTTAATTACAAGACCATCAACATATTATCCAGTTTTCCATAATTACATTTCTGACACTTTTATTGACTTTTTACTGAGATTTTAATTATTTATTTATATCAATATTTCTTCAGTGCACACCAAAGTGTGGCCCAGGATTCAAACACCGAATTGTTCTGTGCAAGAGCAGCGATCTTCTAAAAACTTTTCCAGCCGCACAATGCCAAGAGGAAAGCAAGCCGCCAGTCCGCATCCGCTGTAGTTTAGGCCGATGTCCTCCTCCTCGCTGGGTTACTGGAGACTGGGGGCAGGTAAGATAGTTCACATAAGTATTTATTGCTGTTAGCCTCCTACACATTAGCACCTTCCAAGGATAAGATGTGCTGGAAATGGGTAAGAGATGGTTCCTATGACTGAAACAAAAGCTTCTCCCTGTTTGTCTCAGATTGAAGTGTGATTCTGAACGGTAGTTGTCTGCTGAACTGCAAGGGATTTGCTGACAGCAATGTAGTTTCTACTGGATGAGTTTCTGTATGCATTTTTTAAAAAATTAAATAGACCTTATTACAGCTTTTTTGGAAGAGGATTTTTGGATATTGCAATGTTGCAAAGTTTAGTATTTTTAAAACATATTTAACTTCCTTGAAAAACATGATGGAAATACAAAGCCAATTCCTATCGTAGTAAAGAGAGGTGTGTGTGTGTGTGTATATATATATCAGCCAAAAAAACTTTGAGATCTATATAATTTCACATAAAATACGCTGAATTACCAGGCAGGGACCTAAATTCTTACAGGACAGGCTGAATAGTGCTGCCATTATGCAGTGTTTCTAAATATGACATATGTTCTTTCTTTATGTTTTTGCATCTCAGTTATGATCCATAGCCTGTTCTTAAAATAACAAATGGGCATTTCAGTTTCTAAGTTTGCTAAGTAGTTTGCCAGTAGTGAAAATAAAACACTTAAGCTTAACTAAGCAGGGGACAATCATTTGTGGTATTACAGTCCAATTTGCTTTGCTTTTATGGTAGTTGTTTAGATGCACATTCATCCAAAATTGATATTGTACTAAAACCTCTGTTTAGTTATAGAATTTAGAGATGTTTTGCAACAGCAAGGTATTATTTATTTGAAAGATAGTTTCATTTTTCCTTAAAAAAAGTCCTCTAGCAGATTTGAATTCTTATTCTCTTTGTTTTTTCTTCTTAATTCTAAAGTGATCATTTCTCTTTTTGAAAACATGCACTTAGACTCAGACATGATATATGAAATAGTGTAAATTATATTCTTATACCTCAAATCTGAACTGTTCAGGGAGCCAACATTGCACTGTTTTATTTTCTTTGAAAGGCAGCGTTTGCATATGCTGTCAAAAAAGAAAATTTTTAAACTATTTTATGAAAATTACATTCTGTATCAACCAAATCTTTTCAGATGCCTGTCTTTAAAATTTGTGTATGTGTACTGTTCCTGATTTCTTTCCTGTTATCTTGGTTTATATTTAAAAATTGGATCCAAGTTGTTTTACTTTATCTTTCTTATTTTTAGTGTTCTGCACAGTGTGGTCTTGGGCAACAGATGAGAACAGTACAGTGCCTCTCATACACCGGACAAGCATCTAGCGAGTGTCCAGAAACACTAAGACCTCCATCAATGCAGCAGTGTGAAAGTAAATGTGACAGTACTCCCATTTCCAACACAGAAGGTATGTTTTTCATCTTAATATGATTTATTCTGGAAAGAGTAAAGTGACATGGCCAGTATTACTGCATTAATTTATTAGCAGAAATCTGCATGACTTTCAGGCTGCAAATGAATTTTTTTACAATTGTTTTCTAATTAGTCATTGTAGTTCAGAGGTGAAGTCAATAAAAAGCTAAATACAGGTTCTTTAATTTAAAAAAAACACCCTTAAAATATATAGCCTAAGTCATGGACCGAATACTGTTGCTTTGTGTCATTAATTTACCAGTCTCTTTATTGATTCAATGGAAATGTCCATAATAGCAAGGGGAGCATGATACACTTCTCATCCACTGACTTTCTACCTGCTCCATCAGTGGTTAACGTAACGATGTAGTGGCAAAAATAGTTAATTACATGTTCATTGAAAGACTGGGACCACAGATGTAATGCTACACGGTGCTACAAGCCTGTTCTTATATTTGGACTTACTTGTCAGCTTCTAAGTAACTTTTAATTTCTTGGATTTATAATGCTGGTTGGAAATAATTACAGTATTTTTTACATGATAGTGATTAATTTAATCAGACTGTTAGCAAGCTTCATCATAACATATTTTTGCTAGAGGATATATTAGATAATAATGCCAACATAAGCTTATTACTGTCTATGAAAGGTTCCAGATCTGAACTCATAAATTGTCTAAGCCAACCTACTAGGAAATGCTGTCTTCAAAGCAGAATTAGAGTGCAGTTTAAAAAAATAGAGTTTCCTCATTGACTGTAAAAATTTGGAATAGTTTGCAAGTATTTCTTAAATATATATTCTAATTTGTACGCATTTTAGAGCTGCTATCAAATACTGAATATAAATAGCACAAACTGAGGATTTGCAGAATAATGTGCATGTATTGCACATTTTCTGCCTTAAAAAAATCCGCTTAGACACAAGAGGAGCTGACATCTCTTGGCGTTAGTAAGGTGTTAGCCTTTAAACAGAGAGGCATTATCTTTTTCAGCATACTAGAGAAGATGGAAAGCTTGTAGGATTTCAAAAACTAACATCCTAAAGAGCACAACTATTTTTTGAAGGATAATACTTTCTAAGAAAGAAATATTTGAGTCCTGGTATTTCCCTGTGAATATATTTGTGAGAGGGGCATACTGTGCCTGTACGCTTGCTTATGTCTCTCTCCAGGTGCAGTGGGATGTGAACTGTGTTATCAGTATTTGGGTTTCAAGGAAGGAGCCCGGTCTCTCAGAGGGAGGGTTCTGCCCCCTGGGAGTGCATGTGCGTAGCGGAGCATACCAGCTTGCATGCGGGGACTTTGTCCCCATGCCACCTAGTAGCACTGCCTCGTGCTTTGGGCCCCGCTGTGGGAGGCAAAAGCAACTTCAAAATCAGGTCATTGGTTTGCAACAGGGCCAGACTAGCTGAGAGGATTCCTTTCCTATTTCAAACCCCAGCAAACCTCCCAATTCCCTTCACTTGCCACACTCTGGTCCTAGCAGCCTATGGAACCCATTCAACGATTTCTGGACAATATAATTTTGCTAACCCAGGATAAGAACATACATGTTTTTGAGGAACCGCGAGCCACTCTGCAGTATAATGATCATGTTGGTAAAGTTTGGAAGACTTTTCTTGGGGAAAGTATGGATTGTTTATGTAAAATAAGAGTTAAAATTTTGGGGATACAGAAATAGTAAAAGAAAGTTACGCTATATCTTGTCAGTTTTACGTCTGTGTTAGCTCTTCATTTTCCTTAAATTCTTCACTGGCAATTCAGAATATTGTAGATGAGGTTTTGATGAAGGTAACATTGCATTTGCTGCTGGAAGTGAACTATAGGCAGCATGTACCACATGATTTGAAACGTACTCAGAATTGTTTTGTTCTCTTAAGTATATATATGTCTGCTGGACCTAGACTGCTAAAGGCCATCTAAAACTTTACCTGAAAAACTATTTTATCTATTTTTATGTAATTTCAGTTTTCCTTGTATTTTGTGTGGTATCTCTTCGTGGTCTTTTCAACTGAAGATGTAGTGACATTCTGTGATTTTATTACTGAAACGTGATATTTAATGTCATAATATTGTCTGATCTAGCCACAAAGTTCAGGAAGAGAGAATTTAATACATGTAGCTTACTGAAAGTTATTAACAGTAGTTACTAGGATTAAAAAAGGGCTCTGCTAAACCTCTTCCATTCAACCACAGTCCTATGAAGAATAGGCTACTCCATCAGCCACCATATCTATTTCAAACCTGATTTTTAGAACAGAAGTTATGGGCAACTTCCAGAATATTGTCTCACTGCTGTCCAAATGGCATTGACTGAACGGGGTCCAGTTTTAGTCAAGAGGAAGAATAACTTAAAGAAACATGAAATAGGATAATTTCAAAGCCTACTTTTAGCAAAAATGCAGTTTGTGGCTTTACCTATTTTTAACAAAATAGTGTGTATGAGGGTTATTTTTGAGATTGAGCGAACTTTTCACATCTCTTCAAGATCAAGTGACCCTCTTGATTCCTCATTTTGTTTATAATTCACCATCTGTCTCTCCTATACTCCCATTCTTCATAAACACAATGGCCTGAAATATCTCTGGAAGAGAGATTTTTGGGATGAGTTTTTGAAACTCAGTAGAACACAGTGACCATGTGTGGTTGCTGGTAGAGAAATATGTCTGTTTCAACCACTCTATTTCCAAATTGAGAATTAAAAAATTAGAAAAGTAGTACATAAAACATGGAGTGGGTGGAGTAAAAATTTGCAATGAAAGCACTATATTTGCGCCAATGAAATGAAAGTTTAAACCCTTTCATGACCTCTACTTGTCTAGCTAAAAGCGTGCATATTGCCATTATCAGAAATACTGTTCAGTATAGACATTGTTCAGCCTCACTAATGCTTTCCTAAGTTCAAATAGTAAAAATTCTCATCTGCACCTAACTTGCCATGACAGTACGTGTGCAGCATGAATGCACTGTCCCTAATTACCTCTGCCAGAGCAAAAATAATGTACTAGGAGATTGTATGTAGAAGGAAGACAAATAGGAGTAGACGAATGATTACACATGCTGTTTGTGTTTGTTTCACTGTTACTTTTTTCTTTTCTTACCTGTTTGGTGTGTCTGTTGTCTCTTTCATAATTGGCTTATAGACATCTTGGAGTCAAGGACTGTTGTTCTGTCAGGCCTTGGAGCAACAGCATCCTGGCCTCCAGTCTTCATTTCTAGGTATCAAATCAATACAAAATACAAAAATGGTCAAAGCACTGCTAGTTCATCTCCTTTTTATTCACATTTTCTTTATAGCTGTTGTAATTTGAGAAAGATTGTAGGAGGAAGCCAGTATCAAATGCAACCTTAAAAGAGTAAAAATTTACAGCACCCTTTTGAGACAAACCATTTTCTGATAAATGAATCCTATTTCATTCTTCCCATCATTTAATTTTTGTAATTCAATCTTGTGGGGCTTACTTTTTTCTCCGTATACATCCCTTCCATCTTCCTGCATGCGAAGAAAAGCTCCTTGCCAAAGTCCTATTCTAATATCAGTCTGGAAGGAACCATGCAAATGCTTTTAACTAAAAATCCCCTATCAGGCATCTATCACAATATTCACTCCAGTGCAAGGGAAATCTGCAGCAGCAACATCTGAGCTGTAGAACCTGAGTGTACCCCTGAACTCTCAGATACAGCTGTATCTCCAGCTATATCGGAATAAGAACTGGGCATGGACCAAACTATCCCATTCCATATTCCCACCTTCCTTCTGCAGAAAGGAAACTGAGCAGAGGAGAACCACAGCATATTCCAGCAGTGCTCCTGTAACGCACCCCCCCAAGCCACTCTAGACACAACCTGTGTGGGCTGGAAAAGAAGGAATCCTTCCTCGGTGTGGTTGAGCTCATGTTCTCCCTTCCTGGGAGAGTTCCCTGCCAGTATGACAAGGGCTGCTGAGGCAGTAAGCCCAGTGTATAGAGAAAAAAAGCTCTTACATGCCTATTATAGACATAAAAATGTCTTTTCCTTCTGCATAAAAGAAATTGTGAATGTGTGGAACCAAGCCTAAGGCATAATCCACCATTCAGTCCAGTCACTGAACTCACACTGTTGGTGCCTTTATTCATAACACTCATCATTTTCTCCACCCCTGTTAGCTGCAATGCACATTCTATTTCAAGGATTCTTACAAATGCAGAGGCATGGTACCAAGTAGTGCGAATCGTGTTAGATTTTGGATAACCTCTCGTGGACAGATAAAATAACTCCTGAGGAAGAAGCTATAAAAGTATTGTAACAAAAGTGACTCACTATTCCTAGCTGTCCAAAGTGATCTTTTATCCCAATAAATGATAATTCTTCCAAGACAAAGTGGGCATACTTCTGAACGTCTGGGAGAGAAGCCCTGCAAACATTTTTATGGCTTTTTAAAATACATTGTGTGCACTAGGCTGGACTAGAAAGAGTAGTTACAAAAAGGGCAAGGTGGATGGATAGAGAAGCAGCATGTTAAATGTAAGATCTTCTTTGTACTTTAACTTTTATTTCTGATTTTTTTTTTCTCTTTAATGCTCTTAATTATTAGAGTGCAAAGATGTGAACAAAGTGGCATATTGCCCACTGGTGCTGAAGTTCAAGTTCTGCAGTCGAGCATACTTCAGACAGATGTGCTGCAAGACCTGCCAGGGACACTGACCCACAGAAAGCACAAGAATGTGCCTTGTTATTATCATTGTGGAAGAGTGTCCGTCGAAGAGAGCCACACAGCGGAATGAGATTGACGTCCTTGCAAATGCATTACCCTGTGGAAAACGTAACCACTGGTCAGCCCCAGCTGACAGGATTTCAATATTATTTTAACTTCTGTGAAGTGGGATTTATTAATCCAAAGTGCTGGACACAGTATAAGGAGGGCATGCGAAATTGGAAAGATCCACACAACACATATAGAATAGCTTACTGTGGAACATTTGTGTTCTTTTGACTAAATCCAATAGTCTGTTTACCTCCTTGGACCATTAAAATAATTTTTATTATGGACTTAGCAATGACACTGAATCCATTTGTATTTAAAACTGTTTAAAATGTAGCTGTTATGACTTGGTCTACTATGGAAGTAAAGAAGAATCAAAAAAATGTTAAATCATAGCTTAAAATGTTAACTATTTTATCTCACAACAGCACCACAATTTAAATTATAAAATGAGCTTGGAAATGTTATTTAAGGAGCAGAAATTAAAAAAAGTATTTTTCCTTCGTTCCACCTAATTCCCTTTGGAGTAATCCTGAACACTGCTGTGAGCCATACATAAAGCTATAATAAATAGAAGAACCATGAGGGACTTAGTTTTAAGAGGTGCAACAGTTATTGCAGTGGTGCATGAAATACAAGTGTGCTATGAAACGAAATTAAATCTGCGTTGCAGGTTTATAGCCATCTTACCATTGTACAAGTGAAGCTGACATTTCCACTGAAAGGGAACGTATTTCAATATCATGGAGGAGGCAGACTCCCAACAGTGGTGAAGACTGTATTGCCAGCTCCTTCACTACTACCATACAGGTTGCTTAGAACTTACACTTTGACTCCAGCTCACTTTCATTTACCACACCAGCCACAAAGAAGGAGCAACTTTGTGGGCATCTAGATCTGGTTTACAGGTTGCTTTTGATTCTCCAAAACTAAGGAATTCCAGTGCAAAAGATAAGCCTACTGTGTAATAGCAACAATCCTTTGCAAAGCTGAAAGTTAAAATGGATTCCAGATGTTCCCTGCTTTGATACCATAGCAGAAGGGCATTTGGTTATGAGAAAGAATATGTGAATGTGCAGTTCAGACCACATCCAAGAGGGCAAGAATTACAACCAAAGAATAAATGACTCGTGGAGGTATCTAGGTTCTGTTCAAGTGAGAAATCAAAAGTGTGCTTGAGCCAAAAGGCCTGTTGGACTATCAGGAGTAAGGCACACTGGAAAAGGGGTGGCTAGAGTGAAGTCTGGCCACCTTCACCTAAGTGGCCAGGAACATACTTAAAGCTGGACCTTACTTAAAGTTAGAGGTAGCTTTTAGCATGAGACTGGAACAAACTCTTGCCTTTGGATTACTAGCTAGATGCCTTAACTATTCTGCTGCCATAGTCCACTGATTTCATATCACCATATTTTTAATATTCACTGAATACTCTGCATTTTTATATGTGAAACCAAACTACTTAGGCAAGTCATGTTCCAGAATCTACCATAAAAAAGTTAATTGTTGTGCTCCTCTTCCCCTTCACTTTTCAGTAACAGACTCAACAAGGAGATAAAGAAAGTAGGTACTTGTTTATATTAATATATTGTACTTGAACACTTGCATTTTGCAACAGGTACTTGATGAATGTGCTTTTGTGTCCAACTATGCCTCCTTTGTTGTAGTGCAATTAAAATTATATGAACAATAACGTGTTACAAATTCTAACTCAAATAGCACTTTTGAAAAATAATTTTAAAATACCATGAGATTGAAGTATACCCAGTGTATTTTACCAATAACAAGCCAAATGTGTTGCACACTATTTACTAATGTGAATTAATGTGGAACGATAGATATTGTTAACAGGACTCATACTATGAAATACCCCCCAACATATTGACAATCTGTCTGTGGGGTTTTGCGTAGCCCACGTATTCATGACCATCTAATTCCTGTCATCTGCTACCTCTTGCCAGTATTTCCACTTCTGTACGCTTGTGACCAGTGGAACTCATTTTCAGTTGGCTTGCATGTATACACATACGCTTATCTGCTGCTCTCATCACCGTGTAAACAACTCCTGTTAAAACTGACACTAGTAGATAAAAAACCCCCAATCTTTGGGGGTTGCATGTGGGGATTAAGGGCAGTGTGCAGTCCTTCTCTGTTAAGTGAATCGACTTTCTATATCCTTTTGACAAAACACCTTGGTGCTAGCATGCCCTGGCTAGGTCAAAAATATGATGAAAGGGAAGGGGGTTGCTATGGCTTTCCCTAAGCAAGAGGCCTCTTCGTATCAGGGTCAGGTTTTCTGCAGGGCATGATTTTGTTTATCAGCTAGTGTGTCTTTTTAGCTAACAAGAAAAGGGGTTTTAATGTATTCAAAAGAAACCTTTTTTATTTTTACCTCACTTAGGACATTAAAATTGTAAGGAGTGTTTCCAAAGACACATTTTGCTCTCTTACTGGTGCTAGAACACTAGGGAGTCGGATGTTTACTCTGCAATATAACAGCACTGAGTTTGGAATTTAAAGAACTCCCTGGAGCAACATTGAATTGTATTGTTAAAGGGAACAAAACACAGAATGCATGTGGATTTACAAACTAAGCAATGCTTCAGACTAAGACCGAAAAATGAAACGTAATTCAAAGAAAAATAATTGGTTTCCACAGCACAATTCATTGCTGCTGCTACACTGTAGCCATCTATATAATCTACGCTAGTGTTATAGTCCTAAATAGTGACAAAAGGACTATTTGTATAGGCTATAAATATGACAGGCCTAGAATCAAATAGTAGAATACAAAATGCAGAAATCAATCTGGTGCCAGTACATCCACTGAGCAATACTATCAGCTGAAGAAGATCAAAATGGAAAGAAAAATCTAGAGATTAACCCCTCAAGGTGTATACACCCAAAAATAGTCCATTTCGTTAGGAACTTTGTAATGGAGTGAATGTCACATAGATATCCTTAATAATACAGACTGAAATTACCTTTGTATTATTGTGATTAGTTGCTTATTATTTTATACTCAGTATTAATGTGGTACACTGTTACTTTATTATTATTATTTTTGCTTTTGTAAATTATATTCTAATTTATTGTCATGTTTCTTAACACTTGTTCTACATGCATTCTCCTGCTTGTAATGGAAACAAAATATTGTAACACTTGATGCAGTGAAAATCCACACCAGGCACAGATTTGTTTTTAACATAGATAATTTAGTAAAATAAAACTGCAGCTTTTAAGAATGATACCCATGGTACAGTTGTCTATTCCCTGATTTAACAGAATTCTGTATGCTTAACATTTGCTTTCTCAGATGCATCAAAATATATATAAGATGTTTTCTTTCAAGTAACATCTATATGTTATGCTAGAATACTGTCCTTGGCAGCAGCAATGTTTGTCATATATAAGCAAAACAGTAAGGAAGAGGAAAAGTCAAGAACATGGTCATGTACATTATTAGATAATATTTTAGCCTAAGCAATAATGTAGATCAAGAATTAAATTAATGGCAGCAAAAATATCCTGTACTACTTGGAATGATTTAATTATCAGCCAGTCAATAATAACAATAACAATAAAATGTCCTTCTTGCATTGAGCTTTTAAGGTTTTATCTGAAGTTTATCTGAAGCCATGATGTTTTTAAATATAAAGAAGAAAATCATTTCAGAAGATCTGATGTTTAGGTCACTGTGGCTGGAGATGCTTCTTTTCTTACATGGTACAGTAAAAATATCTTGTATGGAAATCTCTGATCAAGTCTTATGAAATATTTCTTGTTTCTCAGTTAAAATCTAGTTTCTGGTTTAATGAAAATGATCACTACTATTATGAGTAAGATGTTAAAAGAAGTAGAGAGAACCTTAAATATTTCAATAAGGTGTTTAATAATTTGGGCGGGTTTTTTATTTTATTTACAAATGAGGATTCAAAGAACAATTAGCTGTTTTAAAGGTACAGGTATTTCTATCTGTGCTCTATCACAAAGCTTTTATTGCCCTACAGATCAGAAGTTAAAGATGGAGTAGTCTTAGTAAATAACACAGCCAAATAACAGTTTTCTTTCCAAAACTCAGTTGACTTTCCTCCCATACATTCACACTGCAAATTACTACCTGATAGGTTTCCCGCTATTGTTCTGAGTATTATTCTTCCCCCCTGGAGCATTTGTGTTTCGGATTATAATGACAAACTGGGTACACTGAAACACATGCTGTTGTGTTTCCCTCTCTTTTCTTCCTCCTGCTACCTTAAACCTAACATCACCCATGCTGACTATAGAATTCCTGGCACACAAAATTCCCTTCAGTCTTCTCAAAATGCACTCTTCCTGCACCTGAACTTCCTTCTGGAGCCAACCTTGCTATTATAATGCTCTCTTACACCTTTTCAGTTTATTTCTTGAGGAAATGGACACCATTTTTACCCAAGATACTTGCTTTTTCTGTCTCTGATTTCCCTTGCTATGCCCCACAACTGTTCCTTCTTCGGTGACCTCCCTGTTCTCTCTGAATTGATCTGATCTACAAGAAGGACTTCTAAATATCCTCTGCAGAATGCTGGGCAGGCCTTAGTTATTTTGCTGACTTTTTTATTGTTAACATTTTTATTACTAGGAACTAAGATCCGGGACTCTTCTGCGGAGGTTTACTGCAATAGACTTTGGATGAGTCCTGTGAGCCTCAGCTGGAGTCAGTCAGTCATCAGAGTCTTGAGAGAAGGCCATTACTAATGAGGCTGTCATTCTGCAAGAAGTGACACCCTATCTGGCCGTCTTCCCTTCACCACAAACAACAATTAGGTGGAAGGGATTGGATCATTGCTTCTGTGTGGTCCCTCCAATCTTTGTCCTAGACAGAATGGTGTAAGAGCATTTGCACGTGGTAATCAGGATGGAATCCCAAACAGATTTACAAGGGCTCAGTCAGCCACAGAACAAG